TATTTAGTATTTGAATAAAAATTTAATTAGTGATATTAAATCAATTATATATATTTTATAAAGAAAATTTTAAAGTCAAATTTATTCTAGACTTTTTTCTTATAAATTTATGAGCAATTAAGTAATCTTTATCCATTAAGTATATTAATTCGGAAACCTCTCCACGTCATAATTTAAGTATTTGATTGAAATTACATAATCATATTTCTACTTCATTTGCATACTAATCCATAACTGCATATAAAACAAGATGGTTCACATTCTTATTACGACTATTTATTATTAAATACAATTGCCAAGGTGATTTTCGCTGCTCTGCGATAACAATGACTACCGTCTATTGTATACAAATAATATTATATGTAATACGTTTATCATATCATATACTATCTTTTATATTTTTTTTATATAACTGAAGAGGTTAGATGGGCATTTAGGTAATCATAATCAAGAGTAATAAATTAAAGAATACATATAATGAAAAAATTATACAGACTAATAACGAAAATTAAATGAAACAATAATAATTGTTCAAACAAAATAATAGAAACAATAATTTAAAAAAAAAAAATGTAAAATGCGTGAAATATAGTTAATAGTCAGTTGATCAGTAAATATTTAATATATGTACGTTACGCAGTAGGAACTCAAATCTTAGTCCGTGGTACAGAACCCTCTTTATCATATTATTAACAATTAAATCCTTTATTTAATTAATTATCCTATTAAATATTAATTATCCTTATTTATTTATTTATTTTATTCTATCAATCCATTTCTCTTTTTTTTTTTTTTTTTTTTTTTTTACCAACCATCCAAATAGTATTAAGTGATGTTATTTAGTTGATCGGGCGCTTATGACCTGGATGTTTTGCGCCTAGACATCGAAACAAACAAACAAACATCTTCGTAAATATTTTAATCTCGTCGTAACCTACAACCATTTTATTTAAGTGAATTTGCATTCATGTACTATAATTATTGACATATAAGTTATTGTTTTAAAAAAAAAAATTAATGTCTAATCGGTAAATCATATCTGAGATATTGATGAAAAATACAATTAAAAAACTCCATTTTATTATACGAAGAGATCAAAAAAATTATATTTACACAATGTAAGTCCATAAGCGTTCATTGATCTCATCCTAAAGATGTTTTCTAACTTCAGAAAGAAACATGGAACCCAATCATTTGAACTTCTAGCCCATGTCCCTCCAATATTTGAATATTCTGGACGGACCTATCCCGAACTAGGAGGAATATTGAGGAGGAAACCTTCAACTTTTATTATTAGATTTTATTCCTATCTGGCTACTCAACCATAACACAGGAATAATAGATAAAATTCTGGTGTGCACACAAATTTCACACGATGCTCTAGTTTGAATAGAAATTATTTTCTGGACTATGATAAAATTTTAAACGTGAATTTGCAGTGAAAGTGCATTTTAAACGGAGCTTAAAGCTAAAGTCTTACAGCTAACGAATCATTAGGCAATACAAATCTCGTTACTACATCTGTTTTTGTAAACCACATAACTTCAGTGTCTGAGCCATATTCTTTCGGTTGACAGAATGACTAACACCAATTTCAATATTTTAAGTAATGTCATTTTATTGATATTTTTAATTGGAAAAGTTATATCTATACAGACAGTGAGTAAGTTGATCACATAGTAGGTGATTGATGTGTTGAAATATAGAAATGTAAATAAAAGTATAAATTTTTCCACTGGAAACATCAATAAAATTAATAATAAAAAATGTTGAAATTGGAGTGTGTCATTTTGTCAACTGAAATACTCATATATGCCTACAGAGATTTGAAAGTACATCTGAATATTTAATCTATAAATGATTATGGATTGTAGAACTATTAGTTATGAAACTGTTATTTTCTAAAATGAAACTAAGATATTTTCATTGCCTACCATAGGTAAGTCAAAAGTTGTCACACTAATTGTAAGTAGATAATGTTGGGATTTCACAAAGGGAAAATTGATCTAATAATTCACTAATTTAATTTTGTAAAAGGTTACTTTATGTTTTTGGAATAAACGGAATTTGGACCCACGGGACCTCAAAACGTGTATTTCAGTTGAAAACGCAAATTCTACAATTCTTACGATCGCAATACTTTTCTTTACTACATATTTTATATATATTGGTAAGTGAAAGTAGAAATGAGCACGGTTCATAGCGTTACCCCACAAGGGCGTATTTAGCTTGGATATTAGGGGGGCAATATGGATTTTTTTTTCAGAAAAGTTTACAATTTTCGCTACCGAGGGTTTTAAACTCTGGCATTAATTCTCCGTCCTCTCCCTAGGCGAGGGAAAAGCTGCGTGTAGTTGAAGAGGCGGAGAAGGGAAGAAAGAAGAAAAAAAAAACGAATGTTAAGAGGTATGTTTGACTTCAGAGATTTTTTTTGTTTTCAATTTTCAAAAATATAACTCCATTATAAAAAATAATCAGTTCTTGTTTGATAGAGCTGGTTTTAGTTACGACAATTATCTTCAGTTCTTTTTTGAGTTCGCTTCAAAATCATTTATAGTATATTGTGCTCTTACTTCATCAGAAGTCAAATTTTGCAGTTTCAGGAGTCAGGAAATATCCAGATAAATTTAAATCTATTAACTACTCAATATTTTTTTTACAAAATATCGAGCTTATTCTTTTCCTCTTATGAAGCGTAGATACAAGCCTCGAAGACTTCCTATTTCAATTTCAAATGGATACACTTACAAATATCAAGCAGTTCGAAGGGTTGTTTTTTCTACATCTCGACATTTCTCAAAGCGGATATAAAGAAAAAAAAAAGAACCGTTTCTTCACGATTCTTCCACATTGCGCCTTGACTCGGAAATGAGTTGGAATCCTCTTCTTCGCGGCTCCTGAGGACTCCCTGCCCTTAAAATGCCAATCCGCGAGGAGTAGTGACAACTTCACACTACCTGCCAATTAACTCCGAGAATCCGAGGCAGTCGCCATCTTTTTTTTTTGTACGATTCCGTAAATCGAGTGTTCCTCTTGAGTGCCAATTGACGCCTTCGTTAGCTGACCATCTTACATACCAAGTGGCGAAACGCCTCACATACAAACTAGTAGCACGGAGAGATCATTTGGCATTAATAAAACATCGACTAAACCTAGTTTTTTTTTTTTTTTATAGACCCGTTTCCTTAACGCTTCAATATTTATCTTGCGAACCATCAAACTATAGATGTAGAGCTGCATTTAATAAACCTGAAGTAAAAAAAAAAAACATATATCGAGGAAGTCTATTGATAAATGAAGGCTGCACAATGGTGAAAGGAAGGGATTTCAATTTCTGTGATAAAAAATTTAAAGTCATATGAAAAAAAATCTGGTGTGCGCAACACACAATTTTCAATTTACCTTTCTACTTTGAATAGAAATTATTTTCTGGCGATGTTGAGCAATCATAAAATTTTTGAAGTGCACTTTTAACGGAGCTATAACTTAAAGTTTACAGCTAACAAATGATTAATACCATTAAAATAACAAAAACCCTATGAATTATATAAACGGTAGAAAATAAAAACATCGGTACTCTGTTTTTGTAAACCACATAACTCCAGTCTCTGAGCAATATATATATGCCTAGAGAGATTTGAAAGTATATCTCTATATTCAATCTATAAATGATTATGGATTGTACGCCTATTAATTATTAAACTGTTATTTTACATTGCAAAGTTTACTATAAAGGAATTAGAAGATTTTCATTGCCTGCCATAGATAGGTAAAAAGTTTTTACACTAATTTTAAGCGGATAATGATTACTCCACGATTTTTTGAAAAAAAACGGACGTTGATATCTAATTATTTAAATATAATATCAGATCTAGAATTAGTTAATGTATTTAAAATTAGTTAATGTATTTGTGTATTTAAACGTATGCTTTATACATCCATGAAATATTTTTATTATTTGATTTCTTCTTTCACATTAGTACTATGAAATATTTTTTAAACAATGCCATTGCCTTGATTAAGTGGATTTTAAATACTTTTTTTTCAAACTTCAAAAAGTTTACATTTCCATGAAAACACGCAATTACCGTTAAATAATATTAGATTTCACAAATTATTATTTATAATTTTTCGTCACGCTCCATTACTTTATAAGAGTTCCTATATTACATATTCTTTTTATAAAATTATCGGCTTTCCAATGATACATTATAAATATACCTTCTGACTATTATTTCAGGAAATTCATTTTCTACCTCAATAGTTCATTTTCAATTCACATTTTTTATTTTTTCTTCATTTTTCAATTATCAAATTCTTTCAAAAGTTATACTTAGCATTTTTTTGTAACTCGTAATAATGAGAGATTGTTAATGATTTATAATAAATCAAATTAGAGCTACTTTAGATGGAATACATGTTGAACATTTAAGCATTTAATCTCTGCAAAGCGACATCGATGGGGTTAGGACCTCTAAAAAGTTTTAATTATACAATGTTACACCGATTTTAATCAAAATCGTTGGAGCTGTATTAAAGAAAATTGTAAAAATGTATATAACCGTTCATATAAAGTGGCAACGAAAATGTTGCTGTCACATTCAAGGCCTACACGTTTGTTAAACAAGTAATATCAGTTTCGTATGACTTTTAGTATCCGAGCTACCACGTACATACACACACACGCACACACAGGCCATTTTGCGGGACTTGGTTTTTTAGACTCAAGGGTCCTCAAAACGTATATTTGCGTTGAAAACTCAGATTTGAAAACATTGACAATCGCAATACTTGCCCTTAATATATATTACATGTATAGTTAAGTAAAAGTAATAAGGATAAGGGTTTATCCGACGCTTTCTGTGTCTTAAAATCCCTTATGCGGTGCATCTTTTACTTGCCATGCACGGTCGGTATTGCATCTACATAAATAAGGAGGAACACAGTACGAAAAAAATTGATGAATGAGGTCAACAGGAGTGGAATCCAACTGACCCATGGTCGAACGGGTATAAAGGCATCGAAAAAACAGAGAAGACACCATTGTTGTGTATTAATCAATTCCGTATACACCTCGGTGAGTTATAATACATAATTATTAGCCATTTTGTCCTGTAAATATTTATGAGTAAACTAACATTAAGTAAAAAAAAAAAAATGTTTCTAGAAACGGTTAGAATGAGAATTTCGTCGATACTGTTGTTGTCTTTGGTGGTCACCGTGTGTCTTTGTAAGGGAGCAGCTATAGAGGAAGACATAGATAGTCATAAAACAGTTGAAAAGGTAAATCAGAGTTATAAATAATTTTAATCGTTAGACTAAACAATGGAAAAGGGCAACTTACATAAGGAATTATGAAATTTTCCGGGCGGAAGTTGCACATTTCTGTTCTGACTATGTTGGAGCTTCGTGAAATAGAGTTGAATAAATGTTACTGTATGTAAATGTATATACTGGTGAAGTAAGGTATTTATAGGATTAGAAAAACATATTTTATTCCGTTCTGCGAGTTGTTAATTTTTTTCTAAAAAGGTTCATGAAAATTAAATATCTGCCGACATTTTTTTTCTAGAATTTCTTTTTTTTTTTTTTGTCATTTCTAAACTATGAACTATTCCTATTTTCTTGACTGACGATCTCTATATCTTGGTTCTTAAGCTTCCTTTTATTTTGTTACATGTTTTCTGTTTTTCCAATTGCTAAAGGTTTTAGGCTTGAACAGTACACACAATTATCGTCCGCGAATAATTACAATAAAATCATACTTAACTTCGAAGACGAAAGATATGATGATGTAAAAAAATGTATGAGGAATTCCCAGTCATTAAGCACGCTAATATTACAATGTTTTCTTATTTGGGGTAAGATGACGAGGTTAAGCTTTTGTTTACTTCCATTAGTGAATTTAAGACCGAAATATTTATGAGAACTTCTTCAATATCTTACCTAATACCATGCATTTTTTTAATCACCTTTCTGATATTCAATAGGACGAAACTTCTCGAAAATTGTCATTTTCTTCATCTTACACATTAGCTGGTTATGGTTATAATGATTATGGAATTGCATAAATGATTTATAAATGATCGAGTGTTACCATGCAGAAAGTTAATATTCAAATTCATGTCTACCTTTAGGATCAAAACGAGTATATATTTGTCTCAAACTTGAAATGTGATAAACCGAGAATAGTCAAGATACGAAAGACGAATAAAAGTTTGTAATAATTATAATAATAATATGTAAACAGTCTAATTATTTTTTATTTATATGTTTATTTTTTTAGCCCATAATAATCAAAGAAAAATTAACTCATTACATCACCAATGTAAATACTTTTGTGAATTGCATTGCTTATTGCATAAATGACAAGGGTTTCTATTATGTTTTGAAATTTTACATAATTATTGTGAAACGAACAGATATAATATTAAATATTAAAAATAAATATATTTATATGTTTGTATAGTTGTGAGGATTTTTATTTATCTATTTATTTGTTTGTTATACAAATTATATAAACACGAAAATAACTCTTTCTTGGTACTTATGTTTTACAAGTTCGTTTCCTCCATTATTGATGCCATAATATACAACCAGCTTATTTGTGCTCTTTGATACTTAAATTGGTAATATTATTTTTCTTAATATTCAACATTAATAATTCTGCAATATCTTATTTTAGGTAGAACCGTTCCCAGCCAATGGTCAATTATCAGTTTTAAATCAAAGAAAAAAGCGTGGAGTTGTTGAACCGAAAAGCTCAGTAAGTCCTTGCCAAATTTTCTGTTTAATATTTTATTAATAATTATATATCTAATTTTTTGTTGATATTGTATCAGTCAGAAAGAAGCCCTTTTGTTTTAATTTTCATGCAGCACAATGTTTTTTTTTTCATATATTTAATGTACTTTCTTGGTAATTTCTTTCTTGGTATATATGTTTTACAAGTTCGTTTCCTCTATTATTGCTGCCATAGTATACAACTACATAATTTGTGCTTTTTGATACCTAAATTGGTAATATTATTTTTCTTAATATTCAACATTAATAATTCTGCAATATCTAATTTTAGGTAGAACCGTTCCCAGCTAATGGACAATTATCAGTTTTATATCCAAGAAAAAAGCGTGGAGTTTTTGAACCGAAAAGCTCAGTAAGTCCTTGCCAAATTTTCTGTTTAATATTTTATTAATAATTACATATCAAATTTTTTTGTTGAGATTGTATCAATCAGATAGAAGTCCCATTCTCCTAATTTTAATGTATCACATAATGTCATTTTTCATATATTTAATGTACCATACCTTTCTTGGTATATATGTTTTACAAGTTCGTTTCCTCTATAATCGCTGTCATAGTATACAACCACATTATTTGTGCTCTTTGATACCTAAATTGGTAATATTATTTTTTTAAATTATTAACCTTTATAACTCTGCAACATATCATTTTAGGTAGAACCGTTCCCAGCCAATGGTCAATTATCAGTTTTACATCAAAGAAAAAACCGTGGAGTTTTTGAACCGAAAAGCTCAGTAAGTCCTTATTTGAATCTCTATATAATATTGTACTAATAATGATATGTCTGATTTGTTTTTGTTTATTTTGATATCGATATTGAGTAGAAGTTTATTTCTTCATTAGGAAAAATTTCTTTCGTGACTCGTATTATAGTATGAACCTTAACTTAAATATCTGTATATAATATTTTTTTCTGCATGATTGTTATTTTGCTATTAGAATATATATATATATAGATATACGTATAGTAAATATATATCATTACATTTAAAAAAAAAATTCCGTAACAATTGTTCTGTTATTTTATTTCAGGTAGATCCCATTCAAAACAATCATCAATTGTCTTAAGAATTATATGTAAGAAAATGCCTGACATTTGTAAACGAGAATGATCGTTAATATCTTATTGCACCTTTAAAAATATGCAATTACATAAATTTATGAATATATAATAATATATGAATAAATATTGCATATGTTATGGATAAACATCATTAAAGTTTGAATTTTGAATTATTGGTCATTCAATCTCTCATACTGATCTCATACCTGAACCTCCTCAATCATATTATTCAGAAATAAAACCGATTATCAAGGATATTAGGTAATATAAGGTAAAGGTAAAGTTGTCTAAATTATCTAAAATAAGAGGATGAATAATATATAAGCAGTAATTACCTACAAGTTTATTGATTACCGTAAGTTTTATATTCACGAACAATTAGGGTTGCACTTTGCAAGATCAAGATAAAGAACACCTCACTGTTGCAAAACCAAGACCAAGACTGGTAAAAAAAATCGATTTCTTGAATAAAAATTAAGGCAAAATAGTTCCTAATGCCTGGCAATTTTAGATACTTGGAAAGAATTGGTATAACCAGTATACTTTAACATTTAGCTCTGCTAATTTTTCATTCGGACTTATTTATGTTTCCCCTATCTAAACAAATACAGCAATATCTCTATAATAATAAGCTAATACGTACCGTTGCGAGACTCTTGCGCAAGACCAAGACCTAGACCAAGACTGAGTTTGCAAGACCAAGACTCGTCTCAGTCTCGCATTTGGGCAACACTACGAACCATACGTTCAGAATTTTTGTTACAATTGTTTTTAACTCAAGGGTAAACATACTCTTGATTTTCTCCAATACTGAAGAACAGTTAATTAAACTTATAATTACTTGTAGTTGCAATCGAAAAAAACGTGTATGAGAGGTAACAGACTATTGTTACTAATTTTTTCTAACTAACATTGCTTTAACCTATTAGCTGAGATACTAGGTAAATTTTTTTACCAGCTTGAAAACTTTTATTTACTTCAGTAGTGGAGAATATCATTTGAAAAATAATTTAGTGTTATATATTATTTAACAAAAAGTAATATTAAAATTCTTAAGCAGGTAAATATTAGCAAACACTTTATATTACATTTTTCGTAGTTTTGCAAGAAAAGTAGTGTGGTATGCTACACATATTTGATATGCCGTAAGATGGGATGACATTGGGGCATTGAGACAGCGGGTGAAATTAAGTTTGTGGTGATTCCGTGGTGGTTACACTGTGTTGGTTCAGTCTGCAAAAACGTTCTTTGCGTAGGAATGTACGGCTCTACTACTAGCTTGAGTTTGAGAAACCTAGTTCACTACAATCGTTGTGCAGTAAGGTTTTATTTATTTCTATTGATTTTTTCAAAATTCTTGTTTTCATGAAACTTTCGTTAGTGCTTCGAGAGTAGTGTGCCGCAAAGTAGTAGAGCAGTACATGTCAACACAAAGTACGTTTTTGCAGACTGAACCAACACAGTGGAACCACCACGGAATTACCACAAACTAAATTTAACCCGCTGATCCAAGTTTACCCACTAAGTCCCAAAGGTATCCCATCTTGCTGTAAAATTATTTAGAAATAGTAAACAAATGTTTAGGAATTACAAGCGTTTATGTTTAAGATGATTTTGTTAGATTTGAATTTATTCTCGGTTTGGTTAAATTATTTTCTGTGACGAATGAAGAGAAGAATAGTTGGGGTGTTCAGTCAAAAAGGAAGGCAAAAAATAAATGATAATATTTATTTTTTACATATGCCGACGTTTCGACCTGAAGTTCATGCCTTCATCAGGGCTAAGAAAATTTTGATTATGCCTACTTCATCATTCCACACTTTGTAACGGTTTTTATTATTTATCTCTTAGTTCTTAGTCATTATTCTAACAATTTCATTTTACTTTATATTTATCTATTTTATTTTTCTAATGTTTTATTTTTTTATTTTTTATTATCTTTTTTACCATCATTACTTATGTTTCTCATACCTTGTTATCTGGTTATTTTCTTAGCCCTGATGATGGCCTGAACTTCAGGTCGAAACGTCGGCATATGTAAAAAATAAATATTATCATTTATTTTTTGACTTCCTTTTTGACTGAACACCCCAACTATTCTTCTCTTCATTATCCACGACAGTCAACCAATTACCAATTATATTTTCTGTGACATTGCATTGGACTTGTAGCACTGCCTTTATGGGTATAGTTTATTTCTCTACTTTGTTTTTTTAACACTACTATCACTCAATCCATTATAATAAGGCCAGAGCAATGAAATTTCTTTGGTGGGATATGCATTATCGCTCTCAGGATTATCACAATGAAGGAGACATGTCTTCTAGACACAAAATGGATACTATTATAAACGGCATCGCTAAATTCAAGTGCAATGCAACTACTAATAATGAATAAATGAATGAAAAAATATTTTATTATTCTGGGACTGCTGACCCTTTAAAACAAATTATAAGCACAGATTGTATTTCTATGTGGTCACAATTATATTATATATTTACAATAAGAGTTGATTAAAAATAAAAATACTGAAGAAGAGAAAGAAAATAACAAGGAAATTGTACATATATATATAAGAAACTAAAATAACCTAAATAAATTGAGGTAGTCTCTGGGGATGCTTAGATATTTCTCTTAGGTATATTTCTTAATTAGTCGGATTGAGAAAGGAGTAGGTGTTTAAAGAGGAGAGGTTTGAATGAGGAAGCTGATTGTGCGTGTCGAATATCAGATGGGGTTTAATTCCAGAGGGAGGCGGCTTGAATTGCAAAGGATTTTTCAAACACTGCAGTTCGGTGAGGAGGAGGATAGAGGTCGGAAGTACGAGGAGTATTTTAATTGTAAGCTGTGAAAAATATAGGAGAGTCGATGAGTTCTAATGATCTGATACAGAAAGGTGGCTAGGAAGTACTGACGGCGATAGGATGGGTAGAGCCACCTCAACTCAGTGTAATACTGGATAATATGCGTATATCGGGAGATTCCGAAAACAAATCGTAATGCGAAATTCATTAGGCGTTTAAGTTTGGAATCGAAATCTTCCGAGAGTCCACCGTGCACCAGACAGCCAGAGTCGAAGTGGAGGAAAATAAGGGAGGAAACTAGGAGTTGACGGGACATATGTAGAAGGAGATAACGTAGACGATTGAACTGTTTTAGGTGGAGGGAGTGCGAATAATTGTAAATCTGAAATATTTAAATGGTAGCTTAAAATATTTTTACAATGTATGTTGCTTTCACATCCAACAAACAATTGGTGCTGTTAAAAAAAAAATGTTTTACGTGAAATTTAATAAAAATAAGTATATAAAAATACCCGCTTACTCTAATGTGGCGTAATGTATCGGTGAAGAAGTTACCGAGATTTAAGATTTTGAGGAAACGTTTTTATTTGAGATCATCAAAGTAATATGAAATTAAACATTTTAAAATAATGCGCTTTTTATTTACTTTCTTTTCCAATTGACCAGAATAAAACTTACCACAGAGGCGAGTAAATAAAAATAAAAATGTTTGAAACTTATCGACGGTGTTGCGTTTTAATGTATTATTATTTTTATTGGTTGAGATTAGTACGTTTTTTCCTCAATTTGAAACCTGCGTATTATCGCTTATTTTCCTGGTTCAGAGTTTATGATCATACATAAGATAAAGCAGAAGGGGTTTAGGGTAATATGAGATGTGCAAGGTCAACAACGTTGGGTTCAGGAAGAAAACGTATAAATGCACCGATAAATGAGGGAGGTACCGGAGTTGTTTAAGAAACTACGTTCATCTTGGTGAGTGGATTCATGTCTAATTTACAATACATATTATTTAACGTTCTGTGCTCAGAATTATAACCATTACAACAAAAACAACACTCTTTTCAGAAACGGAGATAATGACAAGTTTGTGGATACTCTTGGTGGCGTTGGTTGTCGTTGGTCTTTGCAAGGGAGCAGCTATAGAGAAAAAACACAAACCAGCGAGAAAACATGTAAGTTTGAGGAGCATTATCCATAGTTCATGATTTGAATCAGTTAACGTTTAACCCATAAAATAAAAAACAATAAAAAACACGTCCAAGTGTATTTTCTCCAACTTTGAATACTCAAAAGAAGAATAGTTTATTTTTTTTTTTTATTATTAATAACTACTAATTAGTAACCATGCGACTACGCGAGGTAGGATAGATGCGAAGAGTTCCATGGATCTATCCTAGAGGGACAGAACTAATATCTACATAACTTCCATTAAAGTATAATTTCAAAATTAAAGAAAAGATTAGTTGAGGTAATCAGTAAAAAAAAAAAAAAAAAAAAAAATGCAAAAATAAATAAGTTATGCTTATTTTTGCCGATGTTTTGGCCTAAAGTTCAGGCCTTCATCAGAACTAAGAACCAGATAACAATAGGTATGAGAAAGTATTAACTTCTTTTTTTTGTATTGAGAAATATTACAATCTGTAGCAAAGGACATTTATAATAGTGTTCAGAGATCACATCCACACTTTATGTAATAATAAATAAAAACAAATTATCCTGAAAAATAATATATATATATACAATAAATAAGAACAAAATAACCTATAAATAAAAAAAAAAGAACACATACATACCTATATATATATATATATATATATATATATAGAGAGAGAGAGTTATTATTTATTATTTTTTACAGTTATTTATTTATTATGCATACCTATATACAGTATTAACATTAGAAAGAAAAAATAATATGTAGGTGAAAGGTATATTCTGAAAAATGTAGGTAAAATAAACTTAAAGTAAAATAAAGTAGGCAAAATAGACTTAAAGGAAATATAAAATAACGATAACAAATTGAGGAGTAGAAAGTAGCGGAAGCAAAGTGAAGATATATAACATAACAGTTACAGAGTAAAGACATTACGAATAAAATATAACAGTAACAGATATGAAATAAATAATAACTTCAAGAAGGTAAAGAATAATGAAATAAGGCAACATAACATATGGAAAATAAATTAACAACGAAATGTAATGGAATATATCTTAATTTTTCTATTTAGATTTATTATTTTCTTTATATAACTTCACATTACTTTTCTCTGTTTTATATTTTATTCTATGATTATCTCACTACCTTTTAGCATACTAAGACATCATATTTTAGCAACTACGTCACCCCATTTATTTTATATCTACACTTACGTTTTTCATCTCATACATTCCATTACATTTCGTCGTTAATTTATTTTTCATTACTTATTTTATCTTATTTCATTGTGTTTACTTCATTAGTCCCTACTCTGTTGTCGTTATTATTCATTTTATATTTCTCTATTACTGTTATTATTGTATTAATAATTTCTTAGCTTTGATACCGGTTATATTATATATTCTAAATTCGCTTCTGCTATTCTCTACCCCTAACTTTGTTATCGTTATTTTATATTTCCTTAAAGTTCATTCTATCTGCTTTATTTTACTTTAAGTTTATTTTATTTACAATATTTAGACTATACTTTTCACCTCAGTTTTTTCCTTAGCCCTGGTGGAGGCCTATTGGCCGAAACGTCGACAAAAATAAAAATAAATATAACATATTAACTTTTACATTTTTTTTTTTCTAATTGGCCCAACCAATCTTCTCTTCAATTATTCACTACAGTCAAACATCAGTCCACAATTATAATTATTTACGAAATGTTGCAGAGGTTTATAAAAACGGGATGTCCCGACATATTAAGAAAGGCAATAATTTATCAAAATAACTTAGGAAATCTTGATTAAAATCATCTATTTATTAAAAAAAAGATCCTTTGATAAAATATAATTAATTAATTGAAATTAATTTTTTCATTAATCTTTAATTAAGTTTTTCATGCACAATATCATAATTCAAATGTTTTATGATTATTAATTTAATTTCTGCGTTCTTGAGAGCTGAGAGACTAGCGCAGGGATTTGGGTTCCCCGCCTGATTGTATATATTGTATATAGGTATGATTGTATTTTTATGTTTTTAATTTACTTATATTTAGGTTATTTTATTTTTTTTATTGTATATAGTTTTTATTTATTATTTTTTAGTTATTGTTTTACTTTGTTTATTTTATTTTATTTTTTTTGTATATACGGTGTGAATGTGTTCATTTATCAATATAATTATTGTCCCTGTGACAGAATATTGTATGTCTAAATAAATAAATAAAAAAAATAAAAAATTCTGCGTTACGTAAGTTGGATTATATATTTATTTTTATCCTACGATATACCAGTTAGAAATAATTTTTAAGTAATGTTAAGGTTTTTTGTTGATGATATTTAATTATTTTTTAAAACAATTATATTTGCAGGTAGAGCCTAGTCCTCCCTTGGGCTCTACGCTATCACAATATTGGGGAAGGAAAAAGCGAGAAGTTGAAGAAAATAGTCCAGTAAGATAATTTATTTCATCTAATATATATTGACAACATAATGTATATATATATATATATATATATATATATATATATACAAGGTCTGTAGAGTCAAACGAAAAAATATATATATATTTATAGGGAGAAGTGGAGTAGGCTGGTTTAGGCGGCCAATTATCTACAAGGTCTGTAGAGTCTAACGAAAAAATATATATATATATATATATATATATATATATATATATATATATATATATATATATATATATATATATATATATATATATATTTATATATTTATATATAAATATATATATTTTTTTAGATAATTGGCCGCTTCTTCTTTAGCAGTTTCTTTAGCAGTTCTTTGTTGGTCCCTCTCCTCCATGTGTTAAGGTTCTGATCCCAGATCGGCCCTGTTATCGTACGGAGGACTTTTCTTTTGAATATTTCAATTCTGGCTTGTAGGATGTCCGTTAGAGCCCAGGTTTTACAGCCTTACAGCCGGAGTGACTTTATCGTAGTTTATGTTTTTTTCAACCCCAAGTTCGATGGCGCATGAAACTACCGCAACTCCTTCCAAGATATTTCATTGCCTTATTCTTTAAAAATAATTGAGTTAAAAGCATCCTATGTCCTATAACATACTTGTTGCGACTTGCTCCATGTTTTCCGTTTGTTTCATGGTTTGCGTTTGTAAATAATTATGAGTTATGTTCGCAATAAATAAACTGCTTTAGAAAAAAAAATTGTTTTTTTCCGAATATTGAAGATACTAGTTTCTAATTCCAAAGTGAGATGTTTATTTATATGAGGTATACGAAAAAATAAATAACAGTTACTCTTCCAAAAAATATTTTTTATTGTTTTGACGTTTCGGGATCCACATTATTATTCCAACTTCTGACTAGAACAAGAAACATTTATGTTTTTTTTTGTTATTTTATATTTTTAAGTGTATATATTTCTAAAACTTATCATATCAACAACTGGTTGCCGATGGGTAAGGGGTAAGATTGGCAATAGGTTGATTGGTTGGTTGGTTTTGTAGTAAAGGCGTAGTACCTGTTGGTCATCAACGCCGTTAATTAAAATTATATATTATTATATATTTTGGTTATAAATATTAAGAATTGGATTAAATTAAAAAAATGTAAAATGTAAGTTAAGGTTAAAAGTTGTTTATTATTATTAAAGTTTAGTTATTTAAAGTTTGCACGTTAGGTAAAAAAGAAAAAGGAAAAGGAAAAAAAAATGGTAAGAGGAAAAAAAGAGATGGGGAGTGTTGCGTGAGAAGTTCAGATATTTTTTCAGAATCCTTTTTCGGAGAGAAAACATATGATTTTACCTAGGATTTTTTCATCATTTTCCAAAGCAGCCGGTGTATTTGCTGGTAATTCCCATTATGTTTAATTGTCTAATGTTAAAGGTACAACTCTCGAAGATATGGACCACTGTCATTCTCTCTCCACACTTCCGACAAATGGGCGGGTTTTCTTTCGTAATTAAGTGAAGGTGCGTAAGCCTGGTATGACCTATTCTTAGTCGCGTAAGGACAACTTCCTCTCTGCATTTCCTGCGACTGAAACTGCTCCATGGCTCCACTTCCTTTTTATCACCTTTAATTTACTTGGAGGCAATAGATTATTGATATGATAAGTTTTAGAAATACATGCGTTTAAAAATATAAAAACAAAACAATTATAGTCTGAAGAAGATATAATAAAGTGGATCCCGAAACGTCATTATAAAAAAAAAAGAAACTGTTTAGGAGAGTAACTGTTATTAATTTTTTCATAAAACTTGTATAGAAAATAGTAGTGTTTTAGAAAACCTTTTGGGAAGGAATAGAGGAAAGAATCGGGCCTTTAAGCATGGGTAATGAAGTACCAAATATGCTGACTTTCCAACCATCAACATCCAGTTTGACGATGCTATATCTTGTAGATCGTTTATTATAATTAGATACTGTTCAAAGGGGATCCCTCTTTTCCTCAATCCAGAGGATACTATATCATTATCCGCCATGTTTATACTCCGAAGCTCACGGTTATAAGTACCCAAGATAATGACAAAATGGCAAATTAAAAAATGAAAATTTGCACAAGGCTAACAGCTTAAAGGGGTATAAATGCTTCGATGGACGGAGGAGCCGCCGTAGTTGTCTGAGATACTGCGCACGACTTGGTGAATGAATCCGTTTCAAATTTACAACAGTCATTCCTGGACCAACTGTTTCCCGAATTACGAACGCTACAGCAAGAAAATTATTTTTTGCAAGGAACGGACAGAATGAGAGGTTTGTCGATACTCTTGGTGGCTTTGGCGGCCACCTGTCTTTGTAAGGGAGCAGCTATAGAGAAGAGAGAAATTGAACCAGCAGCAGAGGGACAGGTAAATTCAATCAATAGTAGTCACGCCTCAAGATTTTAGTAAGTAATTTTTCTATAAAATGGAAACGATAACTAATATTTCGTATTTAATTTAGACAATCACCAATAGCAAACAAGATTTTTTTTTAATTACAATAAAATCAATTTTTTTGTACTAATTTTAAGCATTGTGTTCGTGCGAGAGATTAAAAATTTTTTTTTGCTCAGAATCGAAAATTTTCACTCGCGTTTTAAGTTTCAGACATCAAGGATCAAATTTGGTTCGGTATCTGTCTGTCTTCTGTCTCTCTGTATGTCTATCTGTAGTCAAATCGATGTGACGGGAATATCAGCAAGTACCGTTCATCCTATCTTCATGAAATTTTCAGGGATTATGCTGATTGGTGCCTAGATGGTCCCATATCAATTTTATCAAATTCCACCCAGCACTTCCTCTTACACACGCGCAAACGTATATTTTTAGATATGCCAATATTTTAGAAAGGGCTCGTTCGATTTGGCTCAAAGTTAGATAAAAGGTAGACTTTACTGAAAAAATAACGTAGTGTCAATTTTATTGAATTATGTCCACCACTTTCTCTTATATATGCACTACTAGTCCGCTGTCCGCCGTCCGCGTATTTTTTCTGAAACTACCTGACCGATTTTCTTCGAATTTGGATATAAAATCAGAGGTCACCAGAGGATGATCCTCCTTCAACGACATTACTATTCGCCTTCTTTTTCCAAAATGGCGGCCGAAAAACCTGCGTTGCTATAGACTGTAGCGCCTAAACGAATGTACCGATTTTAATGAAACTTTGCCAAAGTCATTTTCTCTACACCCTTTAAATTTATCTATATAACATACTTCAACGAAAAGAAGCTCAAAAAAAAGTTACGAAGGATGGTAAAATTAAATTCCGAATAACTCGAAAAGTTTTTACTTTTTTGTTAATATTGCATGTATATGTTTTTTTAAAAGTTTGATAAATTTCCTAAAAAAAAAAAAAAAATCGTTAAAATCGGACAATTAGGAGCAAAGATATGTTCTCTAGTTTTTTTTTAGATGTGCAATTGCAAAAGGTTTATCTTTTGTTTTGATTTTTGAATGTGTTACTGAAGTAATGCTATTTTTTAGCATATTACTAATGATTAAAAAAATGTTTAGTCCAATAATTGGAATCACCTTTTATTTATTTTTCTTTATAACTAGGAATTTAATGTTCCTTTATATGTATAATTGTTTGGAAATAATATACCATAGTGAAATAATTTTCCGTCGATTTTTTTCAAATTAATTATCGATATATGTATATATATATATGTATATATTATATATATATATATATATATATATATATATATATATATATATATATATATATATATAATATATAATAAGTATGGAATCTTCGAATACGACACTCTTTTGTTGAATGTTGAAGGAAACTGTAATCGGCTATTCCGATTCTGCTTCTCTCAGGGATGATGATCCGTGTTTGAAATGGTAAATGTTCCGAAAAATCATAAGAAGTGTAAAAAAAAAAAAATAAAAAAAATGTTTGGAAGTATGAAGATTGTAAAACTGAAAAAAAAAAATCCGTAATCATCTTAAATGTGACTAAGATACTATCCTTCAAGTTTATAAAGTGGTGTGAAAAATTCTTTCAACAAACCACATTTTTATTAAAATGATAAATGTTTCAATTCGAAAGTGTTTTTATCTTTTTAATTCTGAACTCATTTAATCTTGCAGACATTTTAGATGTAATGTATATATTTCAATTAGCATTATTTTCGATTGTAAACAAGCCAAAGGACCAATCAGTTGAGCAAGCATTACCTTATCTCATTTTTAATATTTCACTATATATGCTGTTTTTAATATATATTACATCTACAATGTTTACAAGGTAAATCAGTTTACAATTACGAATACAAAAATACTTTTAAATTGGAAAATTTATTATTTTTATAAAACTTTGGTTTGCTAGAAGAATTTTTCACGCTACTCTAACTCTTTCATACGTAGATCCCAATTATGAGAATTGATCCTCATGTTATAAGTTTCTCAACTATTTCTTCTGACCTCTTATTTATAATATTTACATTTTCATGAAAAAAAAAAAATCGAGAAATTGGCGTGTTATCGTTAGTCTCTTTACGATATATTACTCATTAAATAATGATAATCCATATATGTATGCATTTTGTATGGTCTTTTAAGTAATCAAAAGCTTAAAAATGATTTATGAAATGAAAAAATTATGATATTTACAGATAGCACCAGGTCCTCCAAATGTTGGCTGTCAAATACCTTCACTTTGTGGAAGAAAAAAGCGAGAAGTTGAACAAGAAAGACCGGTAAGATTTAGAAATTATTTGATTTAGAAATTGATTTTTCCCCAATTTATTATTGAATTTTTTATAAAAGACCATTTACTCTTAACTTATTAAAGAAGAGCAAGAATTAAGTATTTTCATGAATTTTATATTTATTTGATGCTAGTGAAGAAGAACAATTCATAAGAAGATTTTGTTTAGCTATGAAAAAAGTTTTACAATTGAGGAAAAATTTAATCGCCAAAATGATTGTGTGTACGCACCCAGCTCTTATGCACAGTTAATTACTTTAGGCGGCAAACCTTTTGCATTTTTAAAAATCAATAACTGCCATAAAATGATATGAACGTGTTTAAATTTCATAATAAAATGAAGAATGAATTAGAAAATAATTATATTTGCAGGTAGAGGCTATTCTTCCCCCTACCTGTAGTCAAGTACCCTCACTATGTGGAAGAAAAAAGAGAGAAGTTGAACAGGAAAGTCCGGTAAGATAATTTATAATTTATGTGGTGTATACCACCAACTAAAAAGCAATTTAGTTTATCACTAATAGCAAAAATAGGACATTTTTTTATAAAACAAGTATAAATTCATTTTGTTTATAACATTTCAAGGTTTTTTTTTTTTTTTTTTTTTTTTTTGTCCCCCCCTTCCTCGCCTTTAAGGCTATACGGGGTTTTCCCGGGCCAGGGAGTGTGGGCGGGGATTTAAAAACTCCTCCGGGCACCGGGACGCGAACTCGTGACTATTTTTTTATCCAAGTCTTATGTATCAGGTTGCCGGGCAACGGCGTGCAGTGCACACGCGTTAGCCCATTCGGCAACCCCTTCCACGACATTTCAAGATGCTTTAAAACGTCTAGTTTCTATTTTTCATAAAATTTTGGATTAGCTGCGGTTTTTTTTATAAGCCTCTTACAGCAACGAATTCCCCACTTTAAAAAACAGTTTTCTTAGTTATTATTTGTATGTACATATTGTGTGAATGATTCATGTAGCCTTAATATTAATGCTCTTTAATGTGGCAAAATGTATTAATATTCAATAAAATAAAATAAAATAAAAAAATAAATAAATAAAAAACAACAGTTTACATAATAAACTTTTGAATCACTTCCAGTTCTGTAAAGTAATATAGGCTAAGAAAAAGTTCTGCAATTTGCAACCATAAGTTTAAAAAAAATCTATTAAGTAAATTAAAACGTGTAACGGCATAACGGATTAACATATTTCTTTTTTTTATTCCAACACGAGACTTGATTATTTTTAAAAGGTTTACTTTTTTTTTCACTGTATTACTTACTTTGAAAACGTTTAGTATGAAAAGTTTAAAAAAAAAACAAAAAAAAAAAAAAAACTCATATGTAAAAAGGATATATCATAAATTAACATTCTTTAGAGAAAAAAAATATGAATGAAAGAATTAGCAAGAAATAGATTAAACGAATAAATCCACTCTTAACATCAGTTATTAAAAGTCCTCATTTAATTTATTTTTTGTTTATATTCCATCATCTGATCGAATTTAAACTTCAGGAAGAAGCAAATAATGAGACCTTGTGAAACTTAAGAGAGCAATTCAAAACAAACTGGGGCTTATATCGTCACTCCGACCGTGTTTGTTGCATGAAAACGCCCACCCGCACACCGCCAATTCCACTATGGAACTTTTGATTCTTATTGAAAAGAATAAGAAAATAATTATATTTACAGGTAGAGGCCATTGCTCCCCCGACCAATAGTCAAGGACCTGTAATATCAGGAAGAAAAAAGAGAGAAGTTGAACAAGAAAGTCCGGTAAGATAATCGTTTTAAGGTGGTGTACAATATATATAATCCATGAATATTTAAAAAGATATAATGAATATCAAAATCTATAAAAAAAAGTTATTAAAGACTCCCATTTCACAATGATCCTGGTGTAGATCAAAATAAAATAAAAAATATATTATTAAGTTATATGTAGAGTAAATAAGTCACGATTTTCTTTGAGTAGAAAGCACCAACTAAAAAACCAGTTCACTAATTGTATATGCTAATCACTAATAAGACCTTTTTTTTTACGAATGCAATAAAAGTTTTCCTTGTTGATGACATTTCAAGAAGTTTTAAGCTGCTAATTTATGTTTTTCATAAAATTTTGGATAACCCACGATTTTTATATTAGCCTTTTTATCAGGCAACGAATTCCCTACTTCAAAAATCTTTCATGCCTAAATACCTTTAAGTGTATTTCATCAAACAGTTTTGCAGAATAAACTTTTGAGTTGCTTCCAGTTATGTAACCTAATATAGGCCATGGAAAAATTCTGCCTCATCATAGCTATAGCGTTTTCACAAATAAAAAATAACTATCAAGCGGATTAACAATGCTAACTAAATATAACGGCACATTTTAGTAGAAATTTGCAACCTGAAGTTAAAATAAATCTATTAAATAAATTAAATATAATAGTAAAACGGATTAATTTTTTTTCTTTTTTTTTATTCCAACAAGAAACTTTATCATTTTTAAAAGGTTTACTTATTTTTATCTGGGATTATTAATTTTTTTTTGGACATTTAACTAAATAAAAAAACGCCTCAAATCACTTTAACGACCTCAACAATGAAAGGGATAACGAAATGACATTAAAATATTTTGTTCATATTCAATCTGGACGTACAGAATCATACAGAGGAAAATTATTTAACTATGAGCATTTAACTATTATTCATTAGGTATATAAGTTGTTTCTTATGATTGTTTAAATTTTAAATAGAAATATTTTTCTTTAAAATAAATAAATGTATTAATGTTATAAAATTTAAGAATTATTGAAGGAAGTTAGTTAACTGCTCTACATATCATATTATAGTTAGGATTCAGTCATTTTAAGATTTTTATTGTTGCCGAAAGTGTTCAAGTACAGTGACATTTAAACACTTAAACACATTCAGTACTCGTAACATGCTCTGATGGTGACCCACAAGCTTGGATTGAAACTCCGGCTACGATAAAAATCTTAAAATGACTGATTCCTGACTATTTTTCACCTATACAATTTATGGCTTCAGGTAGAACCTGCTCCTCCTCAGTCGAGTTGCACTGGAGTGATATGCGGAAGGAAGAAGCGAGAAGTAAAACCGGAAAGTCTAGTAAGATCATTTGATGTATTACATGTTCCAGTGCTTTGCTTTGCTGTGCTAAACCTTGATTGCATAATTTTTTTGACTACAGTATCAAGGCCAAGTTGCTAAAACCGAGATGAAAGTCAAATGCTCCTTCTTTGGAAGCTCCTTCCTTATCTTAATGCAGTTATTTCATTATATCAGATATTTCAAAAACTTTGATTGGTTTGATTCTCCGCCAATTGCAACGGTTCGTAGTGTCCACATTCTTTGGCAGCTTCACGATTAATCTTTTTTTCAAATCTTCAAATCTGAGGAGCTTTTCCTCAGATCCTTTTGAAGCATGTTTTTAGCTGCATCCTGATTTGTCTTGATAATACACCTCCGTTGCTTTATTATCAAATTCAGAAGATTTACTACTCTTCATTTGATTTATTATAGCTGTCAGTTTCACCTTGCTTGGACCATTCAAACAAATGCCCGCGTCCTGTTGTAGATGATCATTTATTTCAAGGGAAATGTTACTATTGATGGAATCATTACTTCCTCGGCACAGAACTGCCTGGAAGTGCTCTTCCCAGGGGGACAACTGCTTTCCTGTCTTGTAAGGATACCACCACTTCGGGCCTCACTGGTCTGTTTATGCTATTAAATCTTGCTGATACTCTTTACTTCTTTCTAGGTTCCCTCCGACATCATCCCATAAGAGATTTTCATACCCAGGCATATCCCCGTTCCATCCAATAATAAGTGTTTTGGCATTTTGCCATGCGGTATCAACCTGAGCTGTAGCTGTTGATCCAAAGTTGATTGGCTCAAAAGCAGTTGAATACCCCTAATACTGCATCCATTTTCAACTTTTTAACGTCGAAGCGTCTATCTCTTGTAGGTATTCGCTTCCAGGATTTTAAGCTTAAACTCAGCAAAAACCAAATGATGGTCACTCCCGATTTCAGCTCCTTTCTATACTCTTAGGTATGTAAGGGAGTGTCGAAACTTTCGACGAAGGTCTGATATGGTACTGAGGTTTGGCCAGACCCATTTGCCTTGTGGCACGTTAGATGTGGGAATAGAGTACTTGCAACAACCAAGCCATGTTGGTAACATAAATTTATGAATACTTCCTCATTTTCATTCATAGGATCTTGCTTGCACATGATGTGCTCCAGGTACCTTTAAGTTTCACTTTAGAATCACTATATTCAAGGGATTTCTTATTTAAAATTTTTATTTAACCTCTGCATAATTTCAGTTATATTTAAGTTGTTTCTTATTTAATTTTTATTTTAGTTTTAATATTTAAATAAATTTTATATCGAAATAAGTTTTAAAAATTAAAAAAATGGTAATTAATGTTCTACAATTTATGGCTTCAGGTAGAACTTGGTCCTCCCCTAGGTTGTACTGGACCCGTCAGTCTATGCGGAAGGAAGAAGCGAGAAGCAAAACCGGAAAGTCCAGTAAGATCATTTGATGTATTACATGTTCCAGTGCTTTGCTTTGCTATGCTAAACCTTGATTGCATACTTGTGACTAGAGTATCTGATCGAAGTAAACTAAACCAGAGATTAATGCAAAATGTTCCTTTTAGGGTAGGAATAGAATAGAATAGATTCTGCTTTTGCTGCGTCTATTTCTACACAAAAGATATTTCAAAAACCTTCATATATTGAACTAAGACCGTTTAATTGATCCAATTTTTTTACAGATAAGATCAGAAATATATTTTAACTGCGGGATATGTTTTAACGCTACGCCCTTTATATAATTGAATCTAATTAAATTATATTTAAGTTGATTTATTTAACTTTTAATTTAATTATAATTTAAGTTGAATATAAAATTCGAATTAATTTAAAAACAAAATAACTAAATTTTATTTAATGTTTAACAATTTATTGCTTCAGGTAGCACCCCCTTACCATTCGGGTTGCACTGGATGCTCCAGCTTATACGGAAGGAAGAAGCGAGAAGCAAAACGTCCAGTAAGATTATATAATGAATTATATATTGCAATGCATTAATTTGTCAAATCTTGGCTGCGTAATGGTAATGCCTAGATTATCTGATCGAAGTTACTAAAACAGAAACGAATGCAAAATCCTCCTATCCTGTATATTCTATACAGCTTTTATTACCGTAATTTCATCTTAACAGATATTTTGGAAACCTAGTAATTTGAACAGTGTATTTTTATAATTTAAGGAGCGAAATAACTCATTGAGTTAGGCACTGGGGTGCTAAACTCAAGGTCCCACGTTATAAGTCGACTGATGTCAAGTAATTTTTCATCAATTTTCATCAATTTTAAATCGACGATGGGTTTGGGAGACGCTTCTGATGTAACTAGATGAACAATTATTTGCCATCAGCCTATTCGAATTGAGGACCTTCAGCGTAGGAAGTCAGTGACTTAGCCACTGAGCTACTACACTCCTTAACTTTATAAAGATATATTTGGTCAGAAATTGGTACTGGAATAAGTAGCATTTTATATTTAAAATTTTGTTTTTTGTTGTGAAAAATTTTTATCCATCTTTGTAGTGAAAATCGATGATTCAATCTTCTTTTTATTAATTACATGAAATTTCCTGGTCAGTCGTTTATCCATTATAAGTCCCAAATATTTTATTTCTGCGTGAATTGGGAAAGGGATGACGAATGTCAGTATTGGGCAGGGCAAACCCCCAAATTTTAATATAACCTGATTTAATTTATGGATGTCAATTATTGCCTATGGACTATCAGAAGTGTAAAATAGTACATAACTAGATCTAATATGGTACACTGTGGCAGTCCCTCGTTGATTCAACAATAGTCGGAGTGTATATTATCCTTATTAACAACATAAAATCTATCCTCAAGATACAATCCAAGAGACCAACATGCCATACTTTATTGAATGCCGGTGCAACGTCTAAGAAAGCTGCTGTGCAAATAACATTTTTATTTTTTTTTTTATTTAATTATTTAGACATATAATATTCTGTCACAGGGACAATAATTATATTGATAAATGAACACATTAACACCGTATATAATTTTATTCTAACGAAATTAATAACTTGGATAGTTTAATTTCTTCATTTAATCGGTGAAAGTAAAACTCTATGGAGTTTAGATAGATTTATCTGGAATTGATTCTGCTTTGCGTCTATCACAAATTTTCTCATAGCTGAAGAGAAAAGACATATAAAAAAAATAAAATAATAATAATAATATATATGTATATATATATATATATATGTACATTCTTTAATAGTTCAATGTAAAAGATTAGAAATTTTATCTGAGATTTTTATTTATTTTTCAGCCAAACTAAGCTGACTGTATGAGTCCATTGGCTTCAAAATGCTCAACCTGTGGATAATAACACCTGAGAATGTGGAACGAATATAAAACAAAATAAAAATGTAAAAAAAAAATAAACAAATATTTACAAATGTAAGTTATATGTAATTAACATAAGAATTTCTGGTTAATATCCTTGTTACTATTTTGATACTTGGTCTGAGCAAAGAGATTCACTGATTAAAATTGTATACAATATATTCAAATGCTAAAAACATTATCGTCTTCTGCTATCTTGAAAGAAGCTGAACGTCCACTGTTGGCTGTGAGCTTACATATTATTTTGCTCATAGGATTAAGAATACAGTATTTAAAATGATTTCAAGTTTCCTTTTATAGTAATTTAGCTAAAAATAATTATTTATGATATTTATTTAAAATTCTAATTTTTTAATTATATCTACATAATGTTGCCATAAATTCTAACTTCATCATTTCAATTCAATCGATTTTACGCTTTCAATAAACTTACTGGAACGATTCATTGTAGAAAAAATAAAATAAATGTAAGTAAAATTGAAAATAAATGTACAAATGTCGACCAAACATTTCAATAAAAAAATATTACTGAATAATATTTGGTATGACTTTATGAAAAACAAGTCAAACCACTACGACCATATCAAAACCTTTTGAAGGAATGAAACTTCTTCCAATTCTTCTTTTTCAGACGGCTTCTCTTTTTGTCGTCCTTGAATACAACTTTATATAAACGATTAGTGGGAAAACGGAAATGTTTAACTAATATATATTCCATAAATAATTAATATAACAAAAATTACAATTAGTTGCAACAAAAAGTTGCAAATTAGTTGCAACAAAAAGTTGCAAATCAATTACTATTTTCTAAAAATACTTTTATTCTTACAATTATGATAAGTATACTAATCCCAGAATTCGATATATTTTTATGTATAGAACTGGAATTGAAAAATAATCCTCTAAGTCATGTAAAAATAAAAACAATTGTGCATATGGTAATTCTTTTAAGTAGTTTTATGATACAGTTAAAGTTTTATTATAGTTACAGGTGTTGTGAACTTGCATTTCTTAAGAGGATTAAGTCATAAAGTTAGAATGAAATAGTTAAAGTCTGAAGCAAGATAGGGAAAAAGCATTGTCGATAGAAGCAGGTAAGGAATTTTGAAAGGAAAAGGAAAAAATTAAAAAGGACATTTCAAATAAAGCAGTTCTGCTAGGCCACTTATTTGAAAGAAAGAAAATTAAAGTTTATTCTGGGACATTTATTGCCTTAAGAATAATTATAATAAACAGAAAGGTGGCATTTGTCGGGTATCACAAGAAAATCAAGAAATTAAGTAACCTAATAATCTAACCTTAAAACTAAAATAAACAAAGCACAATAAGCGAGGTATGGGGTAATCAAGAAAAAAAAAAAAAAAATTCTGACTCCCTGGTTATAGCTCTGACCATAGGCGCAAACTTCGGGGAGGGAAAGATCGCCCCCCTAAAATAAATTGGAATAAAATAAAATTAAAGTCAATAATAAATAAGCTACATGAATGAATAAAATGTCTAAACTAAAATCTATTAAGAAAAGCCGACTAGCTTGTTAAGCTACGGCCTAGTAGTGGGTATATAACTATTTAATTGATAAATAAATGTTACTTTTATTTAAATTGTCATTTATATTAAAAAATAGTAATATATATCAACATATCCAAGGATTATATAATTCAATCACCTATCGATTTCCACGTGATATTCTTATCACATTTTCCGCGACGAACTAGTGGGATTGTGTATTCAAAAACTTGCGTATTTTAATTTGAGGTCGTACCCACTAAGAAATGTTTTTACAATTTTTTACCTTGTTCATGTTTAGCTGAAAAAGTTCCAGAAATGTACAAATGTTATGAAGGCTGTCTCACCTCCCGCCTGTGTTTAACCTTAAAAAAATACGTTATTTATTTAATTGTATTTTTAAAAGGTATTTTAAAATATACATAAAAAGGAAAAAAAAATCCTTTCAACTTTAAACACATTTATTTTAAATATTCAAAATCATATTCGTCCGTTTCAAAATAATTATGTTCAATTTTTACTCGTAAGTTTTTTTTCCATAGCCCACTCTCCCCCAAAAATCAAAATCAACATCCTACAAGTAAGCTTAGAGCCCGAAGAACGATGAGGAGTTTGAAATCGTGAAAAGTTTTTAAAATCTGGATCAACATTTGTCATCTTATTATTTGTTAAGAAAATCATCGTTCTTTTAAAGTAAAATTTTAAACTTCAATATCTACCTCTTCCTTAAGTTATGAATGCTTATCTTACTATAAACCGCTTAAATTAAAAAAACAGTTCGAAAGATCCTGTGCGGAGAAAATAATACAATCTGAACTATAAAATCCATGTAAATTACATATATACAATTTGAGAAACGGCTGGTACAATTAAATGAACAGTCGTATGGGGGCTGGTCCGCCGTTCGGTAGATACGGAGAAAAAAACATATTAATAAATACAAAATATATTTCTATACATTTACTAAGTGAAAAACTTCTGTGCCAAACAAATAGTTTTTCACGGAGTACAATAAAACACTACAACAATTGAAGGAATTTTCCTAGGAATCTGGTGTTGCGCAAATGCGGGACCAACACTCAGTCTTAGTCTTGCTCAAGAGTCTGAGTTACCTATCAGCTTAATACTAAAGAGATATTATAGTAATGTAATATATAAGATAGGGGAAACCTAACTAAGCCCGAATGAAAAATTGGAAGATTTAAATGCAAAAGTATATTGGTTACACCAATTCTTTACTTATAGTAACTGAAATTATCATGCATTAGTAACTATTTCGTCTAAATTTGTATTCGTAAACTTTGTCGTAGAAAAGTTATAAGAAAATCAAGTGAAAATAAAGGCGTCTGAATGAATCACGAACTTTGTATTTATGCTGTTGACCATTACCAAGTGTTTGTGCCGAAGTTACTAATCATAGCACTATTATTTTAGATAATTAGAGAAACTTTATCCAGTTTATGAATCCATTTTATTTTAAACTAATTGCTCTGATCTACTCTGGAAAATTGAGATATACTTGGTAAGAGAGGAAATCAACAACCTTTTTTTTTTTTGTTTTATTGAAGTATATTTGTGCAGAAAAATATAAACAATTTCATAGGTTTTTAATATATATATTAGTGAATACTAATATATTTGTGTAATGTTTAAATATGCTTAAATGTGCTTTCTCGTCCATCAACTGTGTTTTCATCTTCGTTTTAGTGTTTTCCGAGAGTGTGCTAGACCTGAAATTAATCATAGAACTATTATTTCAGTCGAATGAGAAAATAGTACTGTTTCAAAAACAAAATAAATTTGAAACAATATATATGAAATTCAATAGTCAGGAATAACAACATTTTAATACCTTTCTAACACAATATTAATCTCACTTGGCCTAATCACTCCACAACCGGGCTCAACCCAGACCCTGCAAATGATTCTGATGATTGTAGATCGCCGAAACCGAGAACCTAAAATATTAATTTATATTAGGATATATAAAGTATTATAAAGATATATGGAATGTATAAGTATAATTTTAAGAATGCCTTGGAAACGGATAATATCTTACGTGTCTTATAAAACATAACGTAGATTGAGGAGTTTACATTTGAGGTATCAGATTTACATATGTGAATCATGAAGCCATCTTCTTTTCATACTCCTTAGAGGGTTATCAGGTATCGAAGAGAAAGCAGGGTTTGAAAAGAAAGGGTTGGTTGGTTTTAATGTCTGTTATGGAAAGGTCTGTCTGGATTGGGCTAAACGGGAAATATAGGGTACGTTAAGGTCGTTATGGATGATAAAACTATTAAATTTGTAATTAATAAATTAAATGACTAATAATGATCTTACTTGTTCGTTGGCTTCACGCTTATTTCTTTCATCTGATCCTAATACTCGTAGTTGCGGATTGGCGAAACGAGGCCCTGCCTGTAGTAATCAGTTATACAGTAATATTTAAACCATGAAATGATTATTGTTTCGAAATATGGTATGTCGGGTAGGATGTACAAGGTCATATCGCTACTGTTAACGTAAAATGTGGTATGTAACAATTCAACATGTTTATTATATTTAGTGCTAAAGGTGACATTTTGTAGTGCAACTGCAATAAGTAGTCTGCTACTATGGGAACTACCAGAGTGAAATGAAATATGAAATTATACTGATAACTCATAAAGAAATAATCAGTTTTTTGCTCCTATGAAAAAAAACTCAATTTTTATACGATCTTTGTGCAATAACAGTAGCTGTATGAAAAAAATAATACCTTATAATAACAATTTAAAGTTTGATATTTTAAAATAAATTAATGCTTAAAAAATTTCAACTTAGATTTTTTAATCCTGAAATGATAAGCAGGAAATCTTAATCCTCCACATGAATTTTTAAATTATCCTATAACGCTTTTTTGTTCCCTTAAGAAATGTTAAGACTTCTAAAATTCTTGAATTATTTTAGAAAACAGGTTGCAACCGTTCGAACCATATTATATGACTCATATTTTCCCTTTATTAACAGCCAACATGAGATGCTCATCAACAAGACTCTCATTAGCCCAACTATATATTAGTATCCTCTGAATTTTTGTAACATTATTCCAAATACAGCGAAAGTAATCCATTAATAAATTTAGAATTCATAAGAAAACTTCTTTTCCTCTGAAATAGCAAACGTACTCCTTCCTAATGCTACACACACACACAAATATATATATATATATATATATATATATATATATATATATATATGCAACAAACTAATAATATATCACTAATTAGTTCCGTTTCTCATCTAAGACGGCCGTTTCCCATGACTTAAAATTCCTGATTAAAACTACTATTTATTGATGCTATTGATTTGATTTACTTCTTCCAATGCTAGATTTTTTACACCACGGGTCGCTGCCTGACAAAGTCCTACGAATAGTACCACAGCCACCACGATTACTGATAGACTTCTCATTCTCTTTATTTCCTGAAATCACAGTTATATTGGTCTAAGTAATGTTAGTTACAACAAATACAGGAAACATTGTTTACAATTACCTGTGATTACTAACCGGGGTGTTTGCAGAAGCTGTTTAAAGGAATACAATGGTTTCTGACTGTTTAGTTTCATTTATAACTCGTTTTTTTTTTCTACCTTGCTACTTTCCCACCGTGCATTATCTTCCTCTAAATCAATTATGCATGCATTATTGCGTTCTTGAAACTAGCAATAAAAAAATGTATATATATATATATATATATATATATATATATATTTTACTTGAGTCTGATTTTTCCTCCCTCGTAAGGCATTTTTCACAATTTAATTTTTTTTTTCTAATTTCAGAATGTTAAACATAACTATGCAATGTTCGATAAAACATATCATATTGTTTTGAGGGGACTCCAACCTCTCAACTCCACTACCATGATAAGTAGAGGCATCGAAGAACTAAGATATAAAGGCAGGCATGAATCTTTCAGCACTAGAGATTTAATATCCCACTACCAAAGCTCCAGTATTAAATATATAAAAAATCAACGAGATCTAAAAGCACATATTCAATTGTCACCTCCAAACGTGTAAAAGTAGATTATACCTCAGGCACCTTACTCACTACACCCATCCTGAATCTTAGAGATTCCTCCTCAGCTCTCCACATTTTTCACCGTAAATAAAGCTCTAACAACCTGATCTTTCCCAACCTTCAATAAAATCTTTATGATATTCGGAAACTAATCAACGATTTCAAAATCCACCTATGGTATATATATATATATATTTATATAATACAATTATATGTATTGACACATACACATATAATTATACATATAAATGTAAGGTATACATGGACATTTCCATATAAACTTCTTGGTTGGTATGTTGCTAAATACATACTCAATTATCGTAAATTATAAAAATGAACAACATTTATAAGTTATTATATTATATTCGAGTGTCATACTCATGTGCTCATTACTTCTTCCAAAGATAAATATCTATTTAAAAATTTACGAATTTCAAACTGATTTAACTTTTTCTATCTATATAGTGAAAATTAGATTTATAATGTATAAATTGCTCAAAGTCCTTTAGGAGACAAATATTAAAATTAGACAGAATACAGACAAATGATATTACAACTTCTAACGTTAGTTTTTTAGATAATTATTACTGTAAACATTCTTTAAGAATGATACCAAAGGTATGTTACGTGCAGAAATGATATATGTGGGGAACAGCCCGCGATTGTTTTGGGCCTTTGTGCATTCACCGCCCGGTCATTAGGGCTGTCAGTGCTGCCATAACAATCGTAACTACTTGGATGTATAAATATTCTATTAAGAGGGGAAATATCTACGAAAATTCACGGAATCTAGGCGTTTTCAATCTGGAAATCGGTAAACTTTGTCTATTTATTTATGTACTAAAAACTCAAAATACCCAATTTCTTTTCACTTGAATCGTAAGATAATTTAAGCGCAAAAAGGTTGTTCGAGAAATAATGTTTCTTGAAAATAATCGAGCCTTTTGTCGTGACATGTACCCCAAAAATGTCAAAATAACGAGGTTATATTGGCCAAACGGCACAATATTTTTGTTGGCCACTTTTCTCGATTTTGCGATAAAATTATATCACGATCCAAGTGGAAAGCAGATGGGTATTTACGAGTTTTTAGTTTGCCGACCTCCAGATTGAAAACGCCCCAATTCCAAGAGCTTTCGTAAATATAATAGTTATTGGTTACGATGAGATAAAATTCTGCACGAAGTTTCATGCGGATGTTATAAATTCGATAAAAAGGGGTACAACGGGCTATTATGTTTAGCGTTGCCCAAAATCGGTCTTGAAGACCAAGACCAACCGTACCTGTTGCATACAGACAAGTAAAAAAAATCGTCATTTTGAATAAAAATTGAGCCAAAATAGTTACTAATACTTGAAAATTTTAGTTACTATATGTAAAGAATTGGTGTAACCAATATACTTTTGAATTTTTCATTCAGACTTAGTTAGGTTCCTCATATCTAAAAAATTACAGTAATATTTCTCTATTCATAAGCTAATAGGTAACTGCAAGACTGTTACAAGAGTCTAGCGCAACACCAAGAGCTTGGTCTAGGTCTTGGTCTTGCGCAAGGCTGATTTTACAAGACCAAGACTCGTCTCGGTCTTGCATTTGGGCAACACTAATTATGTTGATTAAAAAAATAATACAATCTGAACTACATAATACATGTAAATTAAAAGTATACCACTTGAGAAATGTTTAGTGCAATTAAATGAACAGTTGTATAATTTGTAAAATGGGGGTTGGCCCGTCGATAGGTGCTCTCCTAGTTAAAATATAATATTCAAAATTGAATAAAAATAAAACAAATTTAATTATTGAAATAATAAATTAATTAATTAACGCTGTGAGCGTTAACTATATTGATTTAAAAATTAAAACCGAGAATTCTGATGATGAACTTACATAAAGGTCATCCGATTCAATGACAAAAGTGAATTTTCCCACAAATTTTTTTAAAATTTTATTAAAGTGCACTTTATTGTTAAAGATAGCATCGCCGATTCTTTTGTTGAAATATTTATATCTATTAAGATTGTGTAACGACCTTAATACTTTTATTAATTTATTCGAAATAAATAAATGTAAAACAAAGTTAAAGAAAAAACAGCATTTATTGAAAACTTAAATAAATCAAAACGCAGTGGCGTAATTATGAAATGGAGATCATTTTCAAGATCTACGGCTCCGGAAACATAAGAATACACCCTTATATCGAATAAATCAGAAAAAAATTAAATAGTTACAAAATCGATAGCGGTTTGAAAAACTCTACTTAGGAGAGCATAATAATAGATCCTCATATTCGAAATTGGCCCTTATTTCGAAAAGATTAATTGTCCAGTGCACAAAGTCACTAATGCCATTCATCTTTAGCCACATTCAAAGGTTAATTCACTTCGAATTATCTCACCATACCCTTCCAACTCCTCCTATCTATTTCTAAAAATTACACGAAGAAAAAATAAAACTTCACCAAGACGACCCATCATGGTGGGCCAGTTTTTTTTTTTTTGTTCTTCCCTACCTGGCCTTTTAGACTATACGGGTTTATTCCGGAGTGAGGGCGGGAAATCCCCCACCGGCACCGGGACGCGAACTTATACTTTTTTAATCTTTTAGAACTTCACATAATTTGGTTGCCGGGCAACTCTCGGTGCTGTGCACACGGGTTAGTCTATTCTGCCAACCCATGATGGGTCTTTGTTTTGTAAGGAAGCACTGTGATTCAGTGTGGAAGTGATTAGGCCGAGATCACACTTCAGCGTCAGATTTCATCTCTGCGCGCGGTCATGTCAACTTATTTAACCTTTGTGTTTTTTAAAATATACATTGTACTTTTATTATTAGTGACATTACATTAGTTTTAGTCTTAGTTTATATTAATTAATTTTGGGGCGGTTACGTAGAATAAATAACATTTCTTTTATTCAATATTTCAGCATTGTTTTTATTTATCATTACCTTTAAGTTACCTATTTTCTTTTTTTTTGGAAGTTCTTATTTTATTTTATTATTAAGCTAATGTAAAATTGATTTCATTTTTATCTTTATTATATCTTATTAGGAGGAGCGGGGTAGCTCAGTGGTAGGGCACTAAGTTTCCGGTGATTAAGGTCCCAGGTTCGAATCCCGGCTCATGGCAGAAAATTATTTATTCTGTTTCATTGGCCGTGGGGCGACCCTGGGATAGGGAGACCCTCCTGGGGCACACCCAGCCTTCACAAAGTGGGCACCCTTAATTAAATAATTGATTAAGGGGGAAAATCTGACGGTTGAGCGTAATCTTGGTCCGATCTCCTCCCTGCACAACCGCAGGCCTTGAAACAGTACTTTTTCTAAATAGTACTGAGGCCATGAAAGTTCATGGGTTGTAATGGTACAGCTTTTTTTTTTTATATATCTTATTATAAAAAAATAACCATCTTTGTATGGCTTTGTAGTAACCGGTTAAAAAACAAAAGAATTTCTGGTAAAAAATATCAGTAATTGGAAACTAACTAAATAACTGGTAAAAATAAATATAACGTTACGCCTGATATTTCCCCTCTTGATAGAATATTTATAAATCCAAGTAGATACGATTGTTATGGCAGCGCTGACAGCCCTAATGACCGGGCGGTGTAGGCACAAAGGCCCAAAACAATCGAGGGCTGTTCCCAACTCAGACAAAGACTGGATTGGAAGCGTAGGTGCAGTGTATATCTTCATTCTGTTTATCATTCCTGTACGCAACATACTTTTCTCATTATTCTTAAAGAATATTTACAATAATGTTTATCTAAAAAAAACTAACCTTTTGCGTTGGAAGTTATAATATCATTTGTCTGTATTCTGTCTAATTCTAATATTTGTCCCCTAAAGGATTGTAAACAATTCATACATTATAAATCTAGTTTTCATAATATAGATAGATAAAGTTAAATCAATTTGAGATTCATAAATTTTTAAATAAATATGTAATAATACTTATCTTTAGAAGGAGTACTGAGCACCTGAATATGAAACTGGAATATGATATAATAACTTCTAAATGTTTTTCATTTTTATAATTTACGATAATTGAGTATGCAGCTGAATAACATTAAATTAATTTAAACCTAGAAGTTTATATAAAATGTCCATGTATACCTTAAATTTATATGTATAATTAATAATATGTGTATGTGTCTATACATACAATTGCAATATATATGATAGGTGGACTTTGAAATCGTTGATTGGTTTCCGAATTTCATAAGGATTTTGATGAAGGTTGGGAAAGAGCAGGGGACAAGAGGTTGATTTACCGTGTAAGATGATCAGAGCTGAGGAGGGAATCTCAAAGATTCGGAATGGGTGAAGTGAGTAAGGCCTCTGAGGTATAATCTACTTATACACGTTTGGAGGTGACAATTTAATATGTACTTTTAGATCTCGTTGATTTTTTATGTACCTAATACTGGAGCTTTGGTAGTGGGATATTAAATCTCTAGTGCTGAAAGATCAGGTAAATAGTTTTCAGGGACTATATTCTTTTAAGTTTAAATGACGCAATAATGAATAATTGATTTAGAGGAAGAGAATGCATGGTGGGAAAGTAGCAGTGCGACAGTAAAGAAAAAACGAGGTATAAATGCAACGACTAAACTGTCAGAAACCATTGTTTCCCTTTGAACCGGTCTCTACATTCTCACAGAGAACGATTTTCCTCAGTTAGTCACTGCGGAAAACTACCCGTACTACAAAGATTTTGTGTACGGGTGGAAAGTCGCGGTGGATCCAGCCCATTTTAATTTAAGAAGAGGAGGAAGAGGTGCTATACCATTGGCGTGAAACGGATGAGGAAAGCACCCATGAAGAAAGAGGAAAAAATGAAGAAGGAGCAGAAGAACGAGATTCATTTGCAGCAGTGAGATGTTGAGCTGACCTGCCTAACATCTTACTATTGCAGACACCCGTATTGCCTACTAGGCACGGCAGGGTTGATAAATAAATAAAATTCTGCAAACACACCGGTTAGTAATAATATTTAATTGCAAACAATGTTTCCTGTATTTGTAGAAACTAACATTATTTAGACCAATATAATTGTTATTTTAGGAAATGAACAGAATGAGAAGTCTATCAGTTATCTTGGTGGCTGTGGTGCTATTCGTGGGACTTTGCCAGGCAGCGCCTCATGGTGTCAAAAATCTAGCATCTCAAGAGGTAAATCAGATCAATAGCATCAATAAATAGTAGTTTTAAGCGTTAGACTTTTAAGCCATAGGAAACGGCCATCTTTGATGAGAAACGGAACAAATAAGTGATATATTATTATATAATATTATAATAAGTTTTATATGTATATATAAATGAACAGTTCCACAAGAGTAGGTTTGCCATTTCAGAGGGAAGAAAGTTTTCTAACTTTTCTTATTAATTCTAGATTTATTAACGGATTACCTTCACTGTATTTTTAATAATTTTACAAAAAGTGTAAAATAAGTTTAAATAAGGATAAGTTGTCACAATGATAGTGTTGTAGATGAGTATCTCGAGTTGGCTGTTAAAGGAGCAATATAAATATAAATAGGAGCAATACAATATGGTTATAATGAACCATAAATTTTAGAAGCCATATCAATTCTGAAGGGAACAAAAAGGCGTTATAGGATGATTTCTAAATTTATTTAGAGGAATAAGATTTTGTACCTAACATTTCAGGATTAAAAAATCTAAGTTGAATTTTTTAAAAAATTATTTTATTTTACTGTATTTTTCTGTATTTTTTTTTCTTATCGCTACTGTTAGCGCAAAAGATCGTTTATAATAACTGATTATTTCTTTACGAGTTATCAGTATAATTTCATATTTTATTTCTCTCTGGTATTTTCCATAGCATAAGAGTACTTATTGCAGTTGCACTACAAAATGTCACCTTTAGCACAAAATATAATAAACATGTTAAATTGTTACATACCACGTTTTACGTTAACAGTAGCGATATGACCTTGTACATGCTACCCGACATACCATATTTCGAAAGAATAATCATTTCATGATTTAAATATTATTTTATAACTGATTACTACAGGCAGGCCCTCGTTTCGCCAATCCGCAACTACGAGTATTAGAATCAGATGAAAGAAATAAGCGTGAAGCGAACGAACAAGTAAGATCATTATTACTCATTCAATTTATTACTTACAAATTTAATAGCTTTAATATCCATAACGACCTTAACGTACTCCAAAACCATCCGAAACCTCTCATTTCAAACCTTGCTTCCTCTTCGATACCTGATGACCCTCCAAGGCGTCTGAAAAGAAGATGGCCTCGTGATCTACCTATGTAAATATGATACCTCTAATGTCAATCCCAGAATGTAAACTCCTCAACATACGTAATGTTTTATAATATATATAAGACGTAATCAGTTTCCAAGACAGTCTTAAAGTTTTACTCATACATTCCATATATCTTTATAATACTTTATATATACTTCTATAAATTAGTAATATTCCTATAAATTATATTTTAGGTTGTCGGTTTCGGTGATCTACAATCACCAGTATCATTTGAAGGATTTGGATTGATTAGGCCAAGTGAGATCTTATTTACTTATTAATATTTTATTAGATAGATCTTAAAATATTTTTATTCCTGACTACTGAATTTGATAGACAATCATATTATCTATTCTTTCAAACTTATTTTGTTTTTGAAACAGTAATATTATCTCAATCATCTAAAACTATAGTTCCATAATTAATTTCAGGTCTAGCTAGCAGTCTCTCGGAAATTATTAAAACGTAGATGAAACCAGGAAGTTGATGGACGAGAAAGCATATTCGTTTCTCATTACATGTTTAAAATTAATTTATTGTTTAAAAAACACACAAATATATTAGTATTCAGTGTATATATTATAAACCTATGCAAATGTTAAAAATTTTCTGCACAAATATACTTCAATAACACTTTTTTTTTTTTTAAATTTTTTATCATTTCCTCTCTTACCAAGAATATCTCATTTTTTCAGAGTAGATTAGACCAATTTGTTCTAAATAAAACAAACTTCTCTGGATACATTTTCTCCAATTATCTAATATAATAATTCTATGATTAGTAACTTCGGCACAACCTCTCGGTAACAGCATAAGCACCAAGTTCGGGCAGGGCCGAAGAGAGGGGTATTATCCCCCATAAAAATGTGGATTAAGAAAATTCGACTCTGTCAAGGCTTAGGCCTAAAGTAGGTAGGTGCCTATTTAATCACAATCAATATATTTTTATTATTTAAATATTCCTAGAATTTATTGATTCATTCACCTCTCATTCAGACGACTTTTTCACTCGATTTTCTTATAAATTTTCTACGACAAAGTTTAAGAATAAAAATTTAGGCAAAATAGCTACTAATACTTGACAATTTTATTTTTTATTTTTTCGTTCTTCCTTATCTCTTTTTAGGCTATACGGAGGTATTCTCGGGCCAGGGGATGAGAGCGGGGAATTCAAAAATCCCCAAGGCATCGGGACGCGAACTCATAATTTTTATTGTCTCCAAGTTTGGTTAAGCTCCGCGGTGACCACCCCGCCCCGAAAATATTAGTTACTATAAGTAAATAATTGGTGTAACCAATATACTTTTTCATTTAACTCTTTCTATTTTTTATTCGGGCTTAGTTAGGTTTCCTCTATCAGAAAAATTACTGTAATATCTCTATAGTAATCGGCTGATAGGTGACTGCAAGACTCTTACGCAAGATCAAGACTGAGTGTTCCTAGAAAATATTCCTCCAATTGCTATAGTGTATTATTGTAATCGGTCAAGACCCATTTGTTTGGTCCAGAAGTTATTTCTCTTACTAAATGTATAGAAATCTACTACTGAGAGTATAGAAGCCATACCTGGATATTTTGTATTTATTTATTTACTAATAGGCGAAGCAAGCAAGTCTACTGTTCTACAAATCATGGTGATAAATATTCAGGACGCAGTCATTATAATTTTTTTTTTTATTTGTGCCGACGTTTCAATCCAAACATCTGGGCACGGTTCGAGCACTGAAGGTTTTCAATTACTCGAACGTCGGCACAAATATAAAAAAAATATGTAATAATAAAAAATAAAAATTATAATGACTGCTTCCTGAATATTTATTACCCATTTATTAATAGGGGTTTTTCTCCCTATCCACCGAACGGCGGACCAACCCTTATACAACTGTTCATTTTATTGTACCACTCGTTTCTCAAATTGTATAACTGTAATTTACATAGATTCTATAGCTCAGAATGTATTATTTTTTATTAACATAAAATAAACGGAACGAAACCACAGTTCGGACAATTTTTTATTTTCTGTAAAAATCTACATTATACCTAGGTACATCGCGCCTCATTGACAATTTATATTAGTATGCACAGTAAGATTCCCATTATCCGGGGATCTATTAACTGGAGTTCCAAGGGACCAATTTTTTTTTTTTTTTAATAATACGTTTTTTTAATGTTTAAACCATTTATTTTATACGTATAATATTTATTTTTAAAAATAAATACATGAGATTTTTTTTTATTGTATAACTGTTAATTATTTATTGTTCTTTAAAATAATGAATGGAATAACACGGCAAGCTGGTATCGTATGATGTGCTGTTTTCTATTAGTCCAATTCATACTCTAGGTACTAGAGGATCCAGGATTTAATTTTTTTTTGGAGGGGGGAGGCTTCAGCCCGAAAGATTTTTTTCATAAAAATAACGATAATTACGTTGGAAAAAAAGAAAGAAACTAGCTATCTATGTGAAATGGTGTTAAAGTGATTCCTAAAGTCCTTTTAAATGTAATTACACGAACAAAAATACTTTAAGGGAAAATTTTTTAATATTTTTTAAAAATAAAACATGGTTATATTTTACTATTTTGGGGGAGGGGAGCTTCAGCCCTAAAGCCGTTCCCTCCCCTGTAGATTCGCCCGTGACTCTTGGTACAGTAATGTTTTCGAGTCTATCTATGAAATTGTTTTGTAGGCAAGCAATTGGTATGCGGGCTAATATATAAGCAATATAGCAATGGACCTATTGGCATGTTTGCCTACAAAACAAAATGGTTTTCTCAGTTCTGCTTTAGTCTCCATTTAAATACAATTTAGCGAAATGTCGCAAAAAAGAAAACGTGTCGTTTTAAAACTTGAAGAGAAATTAACTTGAAAAAGGTGAAATTAAAATTCCTGATGATAGGGCAAATCCCCGAAACATTGAGTATGTAACGAAATAATAAAAAAAATATTTACGTGAAGATTGGTTGGGGTGTTCAATCAAAAAAATGAAAAAATAAATTAGTTATATTTATTTTTATTTTTTCCAACGCTCCGTCCCAAAGTTTAGGCCTTCATCAGGGCTGGTCAAACGAGAGATTCCCGTAAGACCTACGGTGAAAAACGAAAGAACTTAAAATAGGAGAAAAATGTTACTTTTACAAACCAAAGATAAATTGGTTTTTATTCTTCCTGTATAGAACAATTAATCAAAATATCCTAAAAAGACGGCAGAGATATAACAGCCGGATCATAGAGGAACTTTTAGCAATAGAGATAGGATGACAGAAAGGGTTTACGAATCAACCACGCAATGAGCAAATATGCAAATGCTAACGCTTCACTCTTCTCCATGGACAACAACGCTCATTGTTACATTTTGAGGGTACGCGTGTAAAGAGTTTTGAGCCTAAAGAAATCACATGTCCAACCAACAGATACAGAGATGAATCAATCCTAACAGTGAACAGGTGTTGTTTTGACCGGATGTAATT